TGGCGCGGCAGCGATTCAAACGTCGTACTTCTGCCGCGCTAAACAAAATTCATAAATTATATTAATGTCTTTTGACGAGGTTGCGTTCCCACGGGGAGTTAGGAGGAGAATTGTTACAAGGCATCAGTATATCCTGAATTTGGTTCAGTTCGACTCTGTCACGACGTCTGAATCAAAGTTGTTTTCCTTTTCCCAACGATTTCATCACGGCACGGTACAAGGGAACAAATAAGTCACCACTTTAAGTTACTTAAGCCGTTAGTAATTTTTATTTTTCTGTGATCGTTTTTATTTTAGACTTAAGGTGAAATGTAACAATGGTAAAGCGTTTTGAATGCGAACTTGCGTGACAACCTAATTTGCATAATGAACTGTGAGGTTCGCACAAAGCACAGAAAGTTAGAAGTCGCTGTGGGAAAGGAAGATAAAAAGCGCAAGGTATTTTTATATCTCTATGCTTCCTAACCCTTGTTTAGCAGAATTCAGTTAAAGTTTTGAGCGGCCGGGTCTGGACTTGGGAAATAAACGCCAGCCAAGACAAGCTACTTTCGCAGGTTTTCAGAAAGTGATAAAAGGGGTGGTAATACATAAATCTTCAGGATTCTCCAAAACAAAATATATCAAAAGTAACGTGCATTTCTTACCCTTGAAGGATCACTCAATGTAGGGATAGTAACAATTTTTTGTTACGTTTGGTGGTCTTTGAGCAGCGAGCTCGTCAATTTAGGCAATTTTCTGTTCTTGGAATGCTCAAATTTAGGCGTTTCCCGGCTATGATTGTTTTGAGCTCTAAAAAAATTATTTTGACGTATTTGCAAAAACTTAGGTCTTTGCATTTACTCATGACCCAAGATAATTCACTGAGGAAAGTTTGAGGGAAAACTTTTCTCCGACCATAAATGCAGTGGACCGCTTTTAGAGAGACTGCCACTGAGTATCTGCCCCTGACCAAGGTACGGTATTGAAGGTTTTTTGTCTTGAACAGCAAGAACATTATTTAGCGTCTTTTAAACCGGCTATTGCGCATTTATGATTGCCAGAAATTGGCTTTGTGTAAAAGTGAAGATATCGAAACTGAACAGCTAAAACATGGTCCAAAACAAGCGATCTGAAGGTTAGGGTATACGTTGATAGACGAGTTGACAAAAGCTGTCCAGTCTTGTCTTAAACTGGGTCAGCAAAGTGAACTTACCTTATGCAACACCCCGCCCAAGCTATCGATGACGTAGTTGAGTTAAAGTTTTGTAATGTGAGCAACTTCAAAAGTAAGCACTCTTAATTCCGTAACAGCATCTCGGAAGATCTTGGAGAGCACAAGCTTCGTTCCATTTGGTTTCGTTGGTGAACGAGTAAGGGAGAGCAAGCATCACTTGATCAAAACCCTCATGACTGACTGACTGGNTTACCCTTGAAGGATCACTCAATGTAGGGATAGTAACAATTTTTTGTTACGTTTGGTGGTCTTTGAGCAGTGAGCTCGTCAATTTAGGCAATTTTCCGTCCTTAGAACGCTCAAATTTAGGCGTTTTCCGGTTATGATTGTTTTGAGCTCTAAAAAAATATATTTTGTTGTATTTGCAAAAACTTACGTCTTTGCATTTACTTATGACCCAAGATAGTTCACTGAAAAAAGTTTGAGGGAAAACTTTTTTCCGACCATAAATGCAGTGGATCTCTTTTAGAGAGACTGCCACTTAATACGGGTAAATTTTAAGGAAAATGTCTTGAAAACTACTAGAGCCCAGTCTGGCCATAAGCACTTGGTTGATCATTTTGGCTATTTTCACCTTGTTCAAGTACATTGTATTGAATACATGTATGATGGTAAAAGACTTATGCAAACAGTTATTAGAATTAAAACATGTTGGAAGATTTTTCAAAAGAGTGAAAAAAGTGGGTCATTTTACCCCCTCAAAACTGTAGTTCATGTAAATTAAGCCTCCTTAAAATCAAATATAGATGATGAAACTCTGTAGTTTAAAGTCGCTGATTGTCTATATATTAAAATAATTATGATGGACCATAGTTATAACTTCAATGATTTGACATTTTTTTTTACTGATTTCAGGAGACTGTCATCTTGTATTGAACGTCAGTTCAAACTTGTGATCCACAAAGATTTACCTCAAGACAAACTTTATACTGGAGAGATGAATAAACTTAAGTCATATATTACTCAGCGACCGTAAGTACCAATTTTTTTTTTAGGTAGAAAGTCTTTTTAATTTGGAATATAGGTGACACATTTAATCTATTTGAATATTTTTTCTCCGTTTTTCTTGCCACTCAACCTTGTTCACTATCCACTGATTCTTTACTCTATTTTATGTTTGTTCAGTGATTTATTGTCTCTCCACACACTCAGCCAACTACTAGTTCAAATGCTATGAAAAGGCCCACCAATGAGAGTTTTTGCTCCACTATCAGAACATCCAGGCTGTTGGTGAATTTTGTGCAATTAGCATTTCAGTTCAACAAGAAGAAGTAGTTAAATGTTTATTGATTCATTCCAGAAAATAACCATACCCGCCTCCCATTAAAGGGTTTTTACCTTATGAACTCCTCTCCCTCCAATCTGTTTTGTAATCCTCCAAAATCCCCCCCCCTGTGAAATATAACCATCCCCCTTGAAGTTTCCATCTTTTTTCAACCCTTTTGAAAATATTTCCATCTCTGATTGAAGTGGAAACTTAAGTAAATGTGTTGTCCAAGATTCCAGACTTAACAACTTTCATAGGTTTTCTGGTACATTATCTTCTGTTATAAGATACAAATTAGCAAGAAAGCTCCTGCAGTACATTAGCATCACATGAAGACATCACATATATTCAAATATTGCAATTCTAATGTTATTATATTGGCAGCTCCAAAATCTGATACAACCATACATGATTTACTTCTAGTATTACAAACTGCCCAAATAAATCCTTAAGTGCTTTTACAAATTTATATCCCTCTCTCTGAAATCAAGCTGGTCCTGAACAGGGTTCGTACGGGTCCTGGAAAGTGCTGGAAATCTGTTAAACTCGAGTAAAAATTATGAAATGTATGGCAGACAGCAAGGAGGATTAAAATTGAGATCTTGGGAGTGAAAGGGTTGATGTGAATTTTAGAGTCCTGGAAAAATCAATCTGAATCCTGGAAAAGTCCTGGAAATTTGTTTATGGAAAAGGGTATGAACCCTGCCTGAAATGCTAGTTATAGGGGAAATGAAATGTTTTCACAAGCAAACACAGACTTGCAGTCTGAGGTGCATGTAGAGAGGATTGAATCACAGCATGTCATTGGCTGCACAATTTCCACCTAGCTGTATGTGTGTAGCTGATAATTTGTGAATCATACACACTAAAGGCTGTCAATGATGGCTCTGTCTTTTAAGAAAGAAAACAGTGTACCAGCTTCAAGACTTGGTTTTAAGCCACTTTAAGCTTTCCACTATAGTTAATCAAGTATCCAATTTTCATTTTTGCAGGCCTTTTGATGCTAAGAACCCTTTCTTGGCTCCAGTACTAGTGAATCGTGAGCTGCACAAAGCTGGTACTCGATCCTGTATGCACATTGAAATTGACATCACTGGCTCTAAAATTAAGTATGTTTTTAATGATAAACTTTTATGTTATTACTGCGTTTGTAGAATGCAGTCCTAATGCAAACTTGAGTCAAGTTTCATGGGACAGTTCACCTTGGATCTTGCAACACTGATTTGTCTGCCCCGCAGCAGGAGCAAAAACGAATGGCATCATCGCCAAACCATGTGCTGTACATTTCATATCCATCTGCACACCATTCTTGTTAACCATGTGGCCATGGGCCGAGTAGGGTTCTTGGTTTACATGGGGTTTGTTAATTTTTTTTGTAGTTTTGTCGGTGAGCAGACCCAAAGTTCCTCTCAGCCAAATTTTGAATCACGCAACCTGTGATGTTTATTTGCCAACAGCTGTTGAAACACAATGTTACATATATTGTTTTCTTTGTTGTGTGTAAAATATATTTTCTCTTGGTTTTATCAAAGCATTGGATTCAAAGGGAATAATAAATATGCTAAGAAAGGTATTACGTCAGCCATGGAATGTGCTGACATTGCATCTTTCACTTTTGCTATGTGACAAATAAGATTGTGTTTACTTTGCAAGTTTATTCGCCAGGAGTGACAGTCTTTTTAGTTTTCCGAGTATTTTGCGTACTTTTAGAGGAGAAGTGAATTGCCATGCTGTTTTATTGAAGCGAGTTCAGAGATCGGAAGGAAAATTAATTATTTGCAAGCCAAGCAAAGAAGGTGTTAGAACGTGCAAGGATTATGTCACTGGTAGGGAAATGACCACCGTACTAAAGATAGCCGTGGATAACGTAATTCTTGAATTATATGACTCGTGTGACTACTTTGCTAGCCCTTTACTCATGGAAAAAAACCAATTAAATTTAATCATGACTTTTAATAGTGTTATTATTGTAGCGTTTGCATCATTCATGCCCATACATATCCCGAAGAAAGTTCCAGGTTAAGAACATTACATCATCGGAGATTTCACAACGACTATGACTGATGGTGCAATAATACAGTTTGTGTGGATCAAGTGATGTGGTGTCTACAGTAATCAATGAATCATAAAGGACTGCTTTGGAATGTGCACTGCATTGCAACTGTAGTGCTAAGAAAACAGTTAAATTTTAAAAGCGTGGTTATACATGTAAGATCTAAAAGATCTTCTTGTTCTCTTTTTTGGCTTCTTTTGTTGTTTTTGACATTTTAGAGTCTTCTTTGAACTGGTTTTTCACTCTGATTACATTCAACAAAAAAGGGAATGCAGTCCCAATACAGACTAGAGTGATATTTTTTGGCTGGGTGAAATCAAATTACATCATTGCAAAGCACGTGTAAACAAGATGATTCGCTTTTTGGATCATTCGCAATCGCTTGTTTGTTGTTTTGATTCTGGACCATGAGTGGCCTCTTTTGTCAGAATGTAACATGACATGCTTTTGTTACATAACTGGGACAGCAATAATATTTATTCATTCTGTTCATGAACACGACTTTGAATCGTCTTGGCTTTGGGATGTTAACTGTGGGAACAGCTATATTGCATTGGCTATATTTCGAGTACATTAAACAAATTTTAGTTCCAGTGGCCAAAAATAGTTCAGTATCCAACAAAGCTCAAGATTGAATCGATGGAAGAGAACTCTGAAGCCAAGATCTCCAAGAGTAAGCCAAAACTAAGGAACAGCAATGCAAATGTTGACAATTTCTATTCATCAGCGGAAATATTTGAATCAGTTGCCAGTTGCACAGAGTTTGTTTACGATAAACCACGGATAAATCAGCATGTGAGTGCAAATGCTAGCTGATATTTGTGCTTCCAGCTTAGAATACTAGATGTAACACAAGTGTACTTTTAAAAATTAGCCTTTATGCTTAAAATTTACCAGTAAAAGTAAAAATGAGATTTTAGCATGAATTTTGAAGGCAAATGTTCTATTAAACTTGTGACTTACCGAGAACTGGAGCCGTCACACAACGTGTCAACAGTAAAGCAAGGAAGTCAAAATACAGCCGAACCTCTATTAAGCAGCCAACTTTTATTTGGCTGCCAGCAGCCAAAATCCCGGAAAAAATTGTCAGCTGTACACTGTAATGAAAACCTCTATTCAACGGCCACCTCAATTAAGCAGCCACACCGGGTCAGCTTCTTGTTGTCCCAAGGGTGATTTTGTTTTGTTTTATACCTCTAAGAAGCGGCCAGTTGTCTCGTCACCCAGAGTGGTTGCTTTTTAGAGGTTTGACCTTAATTTACAGAAAAATGGTGGACTTTGTCATTATGTTACATCAGTCTATAAAACTTCAGCTGTTCACAAAGATAATGATTTGAGCAACAGACAGCTATTTAAGTTAATTTTCACAGGCGTAGAAAACGAACGCACTCACAATCTTTGATTACTACTAGTATAATAGTTAAATGTGTCAAGGATTGTCTGAGATTGCCAGGAACTTTAAGAAACTGAAATAGACTGCCTTGCACTTGCATTGTACTTGCACTGTCAGGAATACTTGAACAGTGTTAACAGTCATGTTGCTTTTTTGTTGTTGCTTACCCACAGGAATCAAGAAAAGGCTAATTAAAATAAAGCATGTAAATAGACTTCTCTTACCTCAACGTTTTGTTTGTTCTTGATGGGTTTGTAGCTTAGGGTGTTTTTTCGATTTCATCGACCTTCATTCTTCCTCATAACCTGTAGTGACCCATAAAGCAAAGCTAGGCTGGTGATTTGCCGCAACATCATCCCGCAAATCACTGTTTCATCAAAAAGCAACATACAGAATCACCATAAAAACACCACAACCATAAGGCCAAGTAAATTTACAACTGCATCAACTCATTGTTAATTTTGAACACTTTCACAGCACAGATACCATAAACATTCCAGCTTTATCTCAAATTAACAAAGAAAAATCTGGGAGAGTGAGTGACATTATAATTTACTATAATAATGATATTAAATTACATATAAATTATATATAACTACTAAATTGTATTACTCACTATAACAATAATTATCTCTTGGGTAACTCGACTTTGTCATGATTACACTTGATAAAACTAGATTCGCTGCAAAACATTTTCTTAAGCAAACTGTTAAAAATTAAAATGTATTTAAAAATAAAAAATGTAGTAGTGAAACAACTATGTTACTGTTGCTAGGTATGATGCAGGAGACCATGTGGCTGTGTATCCTACTAATGACCCTGAACTTGTGGAGAAACTTGGCAGCTTATTAGATGTGGATCTAGACTCAGTCATCTCACTCAATAACACAGATGGTGAGAAAATCACTTCTATGTAACAGGGGTTTGTCTATTGTGGGTTTGCCAAAATTATGGCAAGAGCAAATAAATTGTAGAAAGGGAGGGTGCTTGCCATTAGACCCCACATTACTGAAGCATGTAAACCAATTCATAGTTGAATTTATTCATAGATTGACAACTTATCAGTATTAATAATATTGTTAATTGCAAAAACAATTTGTTGGACACTGAATAAATTTTTTTGTCAGACTCAAAATGACCTCAGCTAAAGATTAGTTTTAAGAAAAAAGTAGTTCCACAGTACTTACTTATGTGGGTTTATGTTGATTCTTATGCCAGTATTTTAAAATGTCAGTATTTGGTACTAAATGTGTTACATGTGAGTAGGCAATCACAGGAGAGATAAAGGTATAAAGATTAATGAATTAGGTAGTATGGATTTTTAAATTTTAGATTGATGATATCAACATAGACTAGTCATTATAAATTCTGTAAGCTGTAACTTTTATGGACAGCAGAAGAGTTTGTTTACATAATCAATTTAACTTGTACATGTAGTGTCAAGTTGGTTTGACAAAACTAAAAATGTTCTAATAATGAGAAAATAAAGATGGCTTGTTGTTGTTGTTCAAGCTGATAAGTCACGAACTCCATTACCAGACTCTAGAACTTTCCTTGAAAGTTAGTTCCTACAGTAATTGTATACCTTGCATACGGCTTGTGCACCTGAAATTTGAATTGACCAATAAGGATTCAGCAGGCAGGAAAAATGTTACTGTCCTGACATCAATGTAAGTTAACAGGAAAGGCATTGAAAGCAGGCGACTTTTCTCACTGGAGGTGGGATTAAATATTCACGAAAAGGGATTTACATTTTCAAAAACCATATCAGATTGTAAAAAGTGAAAAATATGATACATTTTGTGTCTCCAAGCTTGTAATTTGGCACCAAAAATGGGTCGCCGGAGTCTGGCAACTTGCTTGTAGTTCGTTGAGTGTCGCTAGGTAGGATAATAGTTGTGTTAATCCGAACAAAATATGCTGTTCCTCATCAAATTAAACCTGGAATTCTCAAGTTAGCTATTAGAAGAGGCCAAAACAACTTTCGCTTTGTCTTTTTTTTAGCTGTCATTTATCATCCTGTCGTTTTGGTAGGACAGCTCAGTTTTGACTGTAGCTTGTACTGCGGGCACAGTTGCTGTATGCAAGTTGGTGCCTGATGTATTAGTTTGACATCACTTAAATTGTTAATTTATGTATTTTTATTATATCAAATGTTGATAGTTTTGTACCTCTTTTTTTATTTTTCATACTTATTAAGAGGACTCACCTAAAAAACATCCCTTTCCATGTCCTACAACGTATCGGACTGCCCTGCTGCACTATGTCGACATTGCTAGTGTAGTGAAGACACATGTGCTTAGAGAGTTGGCTGAATATGCAAAGGATTTTGAGCACAAAGAGTTCCTCATGAACATCACGGATACTACAGAGGAGGCAAAAGTAGGTTTTGACTGACCACATACTCTGTTTTATTTAGGGTGTGCAAATTCATAGTAATTGTCAAACGTAATTTATTATTTAATGTGATGCAGAACAGAAACTATTTTGCATCTGAGATTTTTGCTTACTTAATGAAGTTTGTACCAGCACATTCCTTACAAACACTGTCCACTTCCTTTCTAAAACAGTGTGTAGAAACTGCTTTTTATCACCATTCAAAATCAGCTGGTTAAACCCAAAGTTGGCTTGCATACTGAAAACAAGAAGCTCTAACAGCTTTGAACTTTTCAGATGAAAGACCCCCTGCATGACAGTGAAACTTTTCTAAACAATAATCACACAAGTAACAAAAAAGTTTGAGACTTGTGTGAGTCCAAATCCTAAGGGTTTTTCCCAATTATGTCATTTGGTGGTTTTCCCTATGCCCAAAATAAGTAGATAGGATCTGTGTAATTATTATACTTTGTGTAAATTAAAAAGGAAAGAATTGGACCAAAGTAAATTTAATTCATGCAAAAAAGTGCAATGTATTCGCAAAATTTAAAAAGGTTGACTGAGTACCCGTAAGCTCTTTCCCTCTTTTTATCTTTAAAATTGGCCATCAGGGAGAGAGTCACAAAAATCATGCATGCAAGGGGTTGCATGTTTTAAATCCCCACCCCTGGCCTAAAAAATTGAAATGAAACCTGTGTCAAAGCATTACAGTCGAACCTCTCCACAACGGCCACCTTGGGGACAGAAGGAAGGGGCGGTTGTAGAGAGGTGGCCATCATGGGCAGGCAGGGTTGCAACATGACACCTGTTTTTTTGATGTGTGCAACAATTTTTTTTTTTAAATTCTTATTGTAGCATATATAAATTAAAATGTATCATAACAGAAACTTGACAGAAACAGTAACCAACAGGGTGCAGTATGGGTCAAGCTTGGTGGCCATTTACAATAAGTAATGGGGTTTTGTTTACACCATTTGTCAGTCATTGATTAACCAGCCATTTTGGAGAGGTAATTTTGGCAGCTGGGATGAGTTTTAGTGGCAGTTGCCATTTAGGAGAGGTGGTCGATGTAGAGAGGTTAAAATAAGAGTGAATGTATGGACTGTCCACTGGGAACAAAAAAAGTGGCTGTTGTGGAGAGGTGACCGGTAGTGGAGGTTGGACCAAAGGGAAATCTTTTGGAAGATAGTCATGTAAGCCAGGTCAAAGGTTTCATGACAATGTGCGCAAGAAGTTTACTATGATGCCACCCATGAAGTGACTCACTCGTTGTCTTCTGAAAGGGCAATCCTACAAGTAGTTCATTGGCTTTTCCATTTATTTATTGTGACTTTTAAAGTGACAACTCAACTTTTTCCAATTTAAGTTCAAATTTAAAGCAGTTATCTGAGGTAGCACTAGTCAGAAAAAAAACCCAGTAACACAATAACCATATTTACTAGCTAATAATAAATAATCTTAATGTGCAATGCACACTTTTAACAAATTGTGTTATTTTCTAGAAACATCCATACACCCCACCACAGAATGATGGTTAATGGAAATTCCTAGTGGGTGGGTGGAGGGCTAAAAGGTACAAATTTATGAGGGGTAGGGGATTGTCCACATGAAAATTTTCAAAATTTTTAGAAATTACAAGCCATTTAAAAAAAAAGACTTCAAACATCTTTTTCTTTGCTGGGAGCTCTCTGTCATCCCTTGGACAACAACAATTTGCATATCTCCTTACATAATACTCCTAACTTTAAAAATAGTATTCATTTAAATGCCAAACTATATAACTCAGTTTTAACTCTGTTTTAACTATCAGACTCAATATCAAGAGTGGGTTCTACACCCACACCGGCATGTTGTAGCAGTGCTGGAAGATCTTCCCTCATTGAGGCCTCCCCTTGATCACCTGTTGGAACTTTTACCTCGACTGCAGTGCCGCTACTACTCCATCTCCTCATCACCAAAGGTACTACATAAACATTGTACAGTATAGCACGGTAGTTTTCTTCCCTGCATTTTTCTAGGAAATGAGAAAGTGCAGTAATAATTTTTATTCTATCATTTATCATACATTTTAGATTACCAAGCAACTTGTGTTTTTCATTGGTACATGTAGTTGTCAGTTGTCAGTGGCAGGGCAATATTACCTGTACTGATAGCTATTAGGTGGATGTGAAATCTGATGTCAGTTTTCTCAACCAAAATTCCATTTGTTTTGAGAAAAATAAGAGGAATTGGCTTTTATGGTCTAAGGTTCAAATTTATCAAGTTTCAAACCAGAAACTCTACAGAAACTCTTAAACGTTTTGTGCATTTGCAAACCCTAAAACTTTAGACACTTCTATCGATAACAAAAGTGTAAAATTCATTTACTAGAAGATGGTTTCCAGGCTGGTGTGGAACCTATCAAATGGACACTGCAAAAACCAAGGAGTTTCACAACAGAGCAGTTATTTGATAACCTCAACTCATGCATGGTACGACTCCAAATTTTGTCAATTCCACCTTTTGCTGTTCATTTACAGAAAATATCCATTCATTTATGTTCAAATTTGTTTCATTATGGTTAGTATACTCTCATTAACACCAATATGACATTCATTTGCNTTTAGTATTTCTGATATGTTCTTTTCGCCTTGTACTAAACGATCTTTTTGTCTCACCAATGTAACTCTAGGGACAAGACCCACAAGGGATTTTGTAAACAACATTGCACTGGTCATTGACTCGAGGTCAAAACTTGGGAACAGGGAACTCTTGTTGTAGTGTCTTGATTGGCTTGTTGAAAGCTCACAATTTTATACAATTTTACCAGAGAACGTTTTTTACCTCTTTTATAATGAATCCTGGTATCGGATCTTCAATATTTTTACATATCCATGAAGGTGACAATCTTTAGTACATTGAGACAGACATTACTGTGTTTTCACTTAACGTTAAGAGAAAACAATAGCTCGTTAGCATAATGCTTTTGAACAGAGATATCGTGTCCAATTATAGAATTATGATTATAAAACTAGGGTCCGTATGTACCTTTTTTTAATCATATTTTTACAATCCTCCCCTTGCAGATATAAATTCAGCCTCTTACGAACCTTTTGCTACAACTCAGAGGGTGCACTACAGTATACATGTGATACATGTAAAGTGACAGTTAGATTTCCCCGCAAATGCCACAAAGAAATAGAATCCCATTTGAACACAGTGAAAGGATAATCAGGGCCTAAAATGTGGACAATGGTATCGTTTCATGCAAACATATTTGCCATGATGCCTCAATAGTGAGGCAATTGAGGGATAAATTGTTCAGCAAATTTGATATTCTCCCTTCCAAAAATAAATGTTATAATGGCTGTAATGTTTGTCTCACCGCACTTAAGATTGTCACCTTCATGGATATGGTTGTATAATAATGCAATTGATTGTGAGTGCTCATGCAAATTCTGTTATTGAAAGTCTTTTGTTGAAAAAGGATTGTCCAAAAGTGTAAATGATTGTCGTTTCATGACGACGAATTTTTTTTGGACAAAAATGAAATACATTTCCAACCAATGAATGTCAAAGGAAGGTATTGTTTATCTTTTGATGATTTTGAATGTTAATATATATGCAAGTGTTATTCTTGAACGTTCCTTGCGTGCAAATGAAGGACATATTGGTGTTAATGAGAGTATATTGACCATAATGAAACAAATTTGGACTCAAATGAATGGATATTTTCTGTTAATGAACAGCAAAAGGTGTCCAATTTAAATTACTGTAAACACCATCAGATAAGCAGCACCTTTTTACTCCAAATTTGTCCTTTCTGGACAAAGTGCCACAAATGTGCATAAATTAACACTTTTCATTAAAAAATTTGTAAGTTTGCATAGCAAACTAATGAGAACTTCATAAAACTATTTATTACAGTATGCATTGATCATTGCTTTTACTTCTTTGTTGGCTCCTAAAAGAGCCATTTTGTTCTTCATATGCATAGGCTTACATCTCATTGTGTTAAACAGCATTAAACCATAGGTAAAATTTTTTAAAACTGGTTTAAGGTCTGTACTGCAATCAAATAAAGCTTCAAAAGCTACTAGTGTCTAGCACTCCATTCGCCTGGTCAACTGTCTGGCTTCTAAGCTACAAACAAACATATGAAAGCGTTCTTATTGTTGTACAGGCAGCCCAAGCTCCAGAGTTCAAATGATCATCTTGCTATGAGTTTGGATCAATAACGATTTCTTAGAACATGGTTACATGTTACCTGTGTGATGCAGGATATGTTGGTTACACTCGCGGCCACCTCCACGAACGCAAACATGCAAACATAAAATTCATATCTTCGAGCCAACGTGTAATGTTCTTTTTATTATATGGAGAAACCAATTCAACNTCCCAGTAAAACACTCTTCTCCATATAATAAACAGCGATACTTCACACCAAAAACACCTAATAAGAGATTTATTATCCAACTGCTGTAGTCAATAAATTTATCAATGAAAGAGGGAGAGTCTGACAGCTTTGCGTGCGTGTGCTGACCTGTACGGCAAACAGGTTTTCTACTGTACAAATACGGCAAACAGGTCTTCTACTGTACAATATCGCTGTATATTTGTACTGTTATTTGGACGGTATTCACTGCAGTTGGATATTAATACATGTATTTATTGGACCACAGGTGGCACAAGCCAAGGGTCTGTGTTGTTGCCAGTTATGTCTAAAGTGAATGCTCAGCTAATATGTATATTCATCTGCATTCCACTCAACCTTCCCACTGTGCATTCTACTATATAATAAAACAAAATGCTTAATATAAGGCATATGATATAGGATATTCACCTTCAATTCTTTCCTCTATTTTGTTGTAATATGTTATAAAATAATTATACAAGCTCCCTCAAGGCATACTGAGAAATATTGCACTAATCACTTGCATTTTCTTTGCATAAACTATCATACATAAAATGTAAGAAGCAAACAGTGAAATGCCCTTTCACCTCAGGTAGACAACACAAAATTTGATAAGCAATAAACACTAATGCTTGACAACCAAACAGAGAGAACAATACTCTATTGTCCTAACCTATTGTAAAACCACCGACTCATTTACCGAACCATCCAGCCATTTGTAAGCCTGCTGACAGCTAAGATACATGTATATGTTCACAAAGACGCTTGATGCTTATTTATATGCCATCAACCTTAATGAACAAATTCACTGCCCAAATCACTTACTTTCTGCAAAGTTAAAAAAATTCAGTCTATAAAAATGCTGTGACAGGGTTCTGAGCCACCTATACAGTAAGTGGGCTTTTCTGTGATATTAATATTTTTGTCACTCGATAAAGACTGGTAGTATCAAGTGATCAAAATTAATATAACTGCTGAAAGTGCCAGAAACTGTAGCTGGCTTCCTTAAGTTGCTAAAAATAAGTTCTTGTTAATCAGTGTTGGAAATTATCACTCACCGGCTCGCCAATGTGAGTGTAAAAAACGTCAGGCAAGTACAAATCATCGATCACTTGCCCATTTGACGAGTACAATCTTCATTTTTGGGAAATTATTTTCCTATTTGATGACACTAGTATTTATTTTTCATTTTGGCAAGAATATCTTTTTCTTTTGAGATGTGCAAATAATTTGCCAATAATGCACAACACAGTGTTTCAAAAAAAGACAAAATGAAATACGGCTTTCTTCAGTGATAATTTAGTACATAACTGTTACACATGTACGAAGTGATACTGCTGGTCTCTAGTTGAGCTAACAGTAATTAGTGAAGATAGCACACCAGAGGAACAAGGATATTTGCTTGCTAAGAAATGAATCTCACAAAGATTTATTTTGAAATAGAAACTGCCTCAAAAAATTAAGTACTTTCGTTGTAATTTATCATTGAAGGAAAAAATATCAGTCTTCCACACGCTGACAAGTTGACTACTCCAAAATGTCATGATTGTAGGGATATGTGAATTCGGTAGTGCCAGCTCTCCATCTAGCTGTTTTCAGTTAAAACTACAGAAATCATTAATGTGGAAAATTTCCAAGGAGTGTCAATAGTTGATGATTAAAAGAAGGATAAAACAGTGAAATCCATCCGTGATCCTAAGGAGGCATCTCGTAAATGGACCAGAACAAGAAACATCAACATGAAATGGCACTTAAGCTGGGCCTTAGCTTCATGATTACGAGATACTGAACAATGCATAATTTGTGAATCACTGCGGAGATATTTTTGGAAGGGGAGGCATCTTTTCTGGGCAAGTGAAAATTACACTGGGAGAGTGGAGAGTCTGAATGGTGAGTGCTGTCAAAATTTAGTTTCCAGCACTTGTTTATTGGATGTCTTTATTGGGGGTAAAACAAGTACTTCCAAAGGGCATCAGCCAAAAATTGAAAACTCCCAGGTGGGGGAGGAGGAGGTAATGATTGTTGAATTCTCAGGGTATGGCAGGGGTGGGGTATTTTTTAAATTTCCAATGTCAAGGGTAGGTTAAAATATTTATTTCAACTGCCTTAGGGTTAGATATTTTATGGAAGCACCTATTCTAAAAAAAGCATATAGAGAGAATTGGGGTTAATGATTTTGTATTTGTAATACCGTAGATGCATCCCACTTCTATTCACATCACTGCAGTGCTTGTAAAGTGGAATACATCCACTGGTAGAGTGCAGAAAGGTGTTGCAACTAACTGGCTTGCTGAAAAGAATTCTAAAGGTACAGTGTACATCTTATTCAATAAAAACAATCAAACATTAAATGTAAATCTAGAGTTACACTGTATAATATGATGATGTGTTGCCCAACCAAATTTCAGTGTCCAAACCCTCACAAGTGACCTCAGATGTTTTTGGCTTGTGCACTGTCTTTTCATTGTGCACTGCTTACATAAATCATTCCGGATACTAGCATGATCCACCTTGACAACTGCTTACATCTATGGTTAGCACATCTCTTTTGTATCAATTTTTTCTCTGGCCAATCCTGCAAAGAGAAAAATTTTAAACTGATGATGTTGCTATTCAGAGATATGTGGAGTGTTCTGTTTTGTTTGTCATGCAGTTTAAAATTTTCTTGTGCTAGTAACAAAACATTTCAGTCACCAGAGGGATCTGTAGACATGTTTTTGAGAGGTATGTCTTTTTAAGTTACACTGCTTATGGATTACATACAATCCTGAGTTCAAAATACTTTTCATTACCTCTCATTTCTCGTAGGATATAATGTGCAGAATTGTAACGATAAACTTTGAGTAAGTCACCATTGTTTTAAATCAAAAGCAACCCTTGCTGAATGTTCTCCTACCTGTGGAGTGCCAAAGGTCTGGAATATGCTTCTATTTTAGATTAGGAATGGCATCATTGATAATGAAGCCAAGCTGAAATCTCACCTCCTTTGTCAGTCATATTAAATACAGCTTTTTTTTTCACAAGTAGGACCAGTCGAACAATGTTATAATTTATAATTTATTATATCCTTTGGTCCTTTGTTAAAGTGCTTACTTCTTGTCAAGTTATCAATGTAAATTGTGTGCCATTGTTGCAACTAATGACAGGTGACACTGGAGCTTAAATTGTAACGCACTGGTTATTAATTATTCACAAGGTTATCCATCAACCCATCCCTCCCTCCTTACCTGCACCCATCCCTCCCTCCCTCCCTCCTTACCCCCACCCATCCCTCCTTCCATCCATCC